GTCCAGCTGTGAACATCTGGTGCCACCCAGTGCCACCCATTGCCACGGTGCCACCCAGTGCCACCAACTGCTACAATGTCACCCATACTGGTGGCACACTGTCCCCAGTACAGTGCTGTCCCCAGGGTCACTGCTGTCACCTCGTGTCCCCCAGTGTCACTGGTGTCCCCCAGTGCCGTGGTGTCACCAGTACAGGGGTGTCCCCGGTGTCCCCGGTGTCCCCAATGTCACCGGTGTTCCCGATGTCCCTGCTGCCCCGATGTCCCCAGTGTCACCAGTGTCCCCACTGTCCCCTCTGTCCCTGCTGTCCCTGCTGTCCCCGGTGTCCCCGGTGTCCCCAATGTCACCGGTGTCCCTGATGTCCCCGCTGTCCCCGGTGTCCCCAGTGTCACCGGTGTCCCTGATGTCCCCGCTGTCCCCGCTGTCCCTTGTGTCCCCGGTGTCCCCGCTGTCCCCGCTGTCCCCACTGTCCCCGCTGTCCCCGCTGTCCCCGCTGTCCCCGGTGTCCCCGGTGTCCCTGCTGTCCCCGGTGTCCCCACTGTCCCCGCTGTCCCCGGTGTCCCCGGTGTCCCTGCTGTCCCCGGTGTCACCAGTGTCCCTGCTGTCCCCGGTGTCACCAGTGTCCCCGCTGTCCCCACTGTCCCCAGTGTCACCGGTGTCCCCGCTGTCCCCGCTGTCCCTGGTGCCACCAGTGTCCCCGCTGTCCCCGCTGTCCCCGCTGTCCCCGCTGTCCCCGCTGTCCCTTGTGTCCCCGCTGTCCCCGCTGTCCCCGCTGTCCCCACTGTCCCCGCTGTCCCCGGTGTCACCGGTGTCCCCGCTGTCCCCGCTGCCCCCAGGCAAGGGCCCCGAGACGCTGTTCGCGGGGCAGCGGCTGGATGACAACGAGTGGCACTCGGTGCGGGTGGCCCGGCGCGGGCGCAGCCTCCAGCTCGCCGTCGACAACGTCACCGTCGAAGGTGACACCGCGGGGACGGCCGGGGGGACCTGGGCCTGGGGGCACCGGGGGGCTCAGCCCCATGGGGACGTGGTCAGTGGGGCTGCAGGTCCATAGGGACAGGGATGGAGGTCCATGGGACAGGGATGGAGGTCCATGGGAGAGGGATCCATGAGGACAGGGATGAAGGTCTGTGGGAACATGGATGAAGGTCCATGGGATGGGGATGAAGGTCCATGGGACAGAG